CGGCTAGCTCGCGGCTTGAGTACCCCCAAAAGAGCACTGCGCGCGGTACGTCCTACTTGCTGGGCGGGTGCCGAAAAGAACAGAGAATATGGCTCGGCTGTTGTGAAAAGTGGCGAGATGGTAGGTAGGAAGGTCGGCAGGGAGGGAGACAGAGATGCTAGACAAAGAAGAAAATCCTGAAGACAAACCCAAATGTTAACAAAGGTTGCTTCCAGGTGCGTTTTATTTTCTTTCATATTGTGCTTCCCTTTATTTTCTAAATTTTCTCCATGAATATGACTTACGGGTATGATTTTTAACGATACTTTTTAAGTGCTTTGTGGGGAAAATGCCCCTTCTAACAGCAAAGATCTGTCTCTTTTGACTCGCCAGTGCTAGCAAGCATGCAGGAGACCGGGGGCTGGAGTGCAGATGGGCCTTCTCTGGAAGCCCGCCTGGTGCCGGTGCAGAGGGCCATTCGTGCCAAAGAGGAAGAATGCCGCAAATCATAATGAAACACATTACCAAGGCCATGAAGTTGATATGGACACAGTCTTTGACCCATAATTCCAACTACTCTTTCAGAGACAAGTAAAAACTGTCATCAAAGAGGTAAAATGGTATGTCTATATGTGAGAGAGCATGAGAGGGAGGGAGGGAGAGGAGAGACCTCAGTGTCCAACAATTTAGAAATTGCTGAGTGAATTTAGTACATCTACACAATGGAAATCAGGCAGCCATTGCAAATTATAATTAAGCTGAATTTCAATGATATAAGAAAGCAACTGGGCACAGTGTCTCGTGCCTATAATCCCAGCACTTTGGGAGGCCGAGGCAAAAGGATTGCTTGAGCACAGGAGTTTGAGACCTGGGCAATATAGTGAGACCCTGTCCCTACAAAAAGCAAAAAATTAGCCAGGGGCGGTAACGCACCTATAGTCCCAGCTACTTAGGAGTTTGAGGCAAAAGGGTTGCTTGAGCCCAGGCGGTCACGGCCACAGTAAGCTGTGATCGTGCCATTACACTCCAGCCTGGGCAACAGAGTGAGACTCCAACTCAAAAATAATAATAATACATTTTTTAAAAGTCAATGATATAAGAATTAGGTATTCATGCTACAATGAAAATGAAAAGAAGTAAGACCAAATTATATAGAGAGTAGCTTTTTTAACGCACATCACAACTAAGTACCACGTTGTAAAATCAGTTTAGAGGGTAGCAGCTAACATTTTTTTTCAACAGAATAAATTTACAATGGAATATGATAGGATAGAATAGAATCCAATTGAATACAATAGAAATTTGAGAGTGTCTCTGATGTAATAAGATTAAATATTATTTCATGACTTATACATACACACAGGTATGTGTGTTTAGGCTGAAATGTAAAATCTATCTCATTGTAGGTTGCTGTTGAAAAAGACTGCATGTATATAGTATGAAGTTAGCTATAAATAAATAAATAGCACACCACAAGGAAATAACCGAACATTAACAGCATTTACTGCATTTCCAGGTGGGTGTTATTGTGGATTTTTTTCTCTACATTGTTTTAATGCCTTCGTTTTCATGTATGATATAGATCCCCCACTTATAAAGTCAGGTGGAAAAGCTTTATGGTAGCATCGAGTACCTTCACGTTGGCAGAACCCTATGCAATTTCCAATTTAGAAGGAGTTTCTCCACTACTTGTAATGCAGTAAAGTGTGATGTGGAAGAAAGGGAAAGAAATCCGAAGGAAAAGTTCAGATTAATAAATATTAGCACTGGCGAACTCCTTTTTAGTACATCAGTCTAACCTCATCTTGACAGAGGGCCTTGGAGCCAGATGGCTAGGATTCAAATCCTGGCTCAGTCACATATTTATTGTGTGATCTTGTGCCGGCTGCTGAACTTCTCTGTGGCTTGACAGCTTCACCCACACAATGAGGTGAATATTGCCGACCTTGGTGCATGAGGGCAAGAATGAAATGAGCTGTAGAAACTGCCTGGAACAGCGCCTGGCGCTCAGCAAAAGCTTCATACGAATTTGTTCTGGGTATTGTTGTTGTTGCTGTTACGGATATTGATTCCAAGGAGAAAATGGGGCCCAAAGAGAGACAAGGACTTCCCCAGAGTGGGTTGCTGGTTGGGGGTTGCAATTTCATTGCCCCCAGCCTGGGTTGACAAGGAAGCAGGTTGACAGTTGCTCTCCAGGACTGGCCTGGGCTACACAGCTAACAGCGACTTGTAGCACATTAAGGTAGGGAGAATCTTTGCCAGTTCATGGTTTGGGTCTCCGCACTGGGAGATAAGAAAAGGGAGGCTCAGAGAGGGTGAACGGCTTCCAAAGGCCACACAGCTAACGTGGGATGACCACAAACCTGAGATACCCCATTCTCAACACAGGGCTGGCCGACCCTCCCCTCAACCTGCACGCTCTAATGTAGAAGCGAGAGATCATAAGTGCTAAAGAATTCTGGAAGAAAGGATCAAGATCAGTGCTACAAGCTCTCAGGTAGGAATAAGAGAGACTAAAGATGACCCAGACGTAAGCCAAGTCTGGTTCAATAACAACTTCGTCGAGCCACAGCCCATTAGCCACAACCTACCATTAGACCGCTATGCATTTTTAAAGCCCTACCTTTAGTAGAAAGGACTGGTAATAGAGGTTTAATTAAAAACACAAGCAGAAACTACCCTCAATCTTCGATAGTCAAAAACGAAGACACTTATTTCTACAACAAACCGAACCGTGAGAAACGTCCATCAAAATGATAACCCATGGGTCGTACAAGTCCCTGAGTCAGGGAAGAAACCTGTAATTACATTCAGCCCACACGACTCATGGAGGCAGGATGAGGCTCTTAGGAGGCTTGGCAAGATTTTCAGCAACGGGGACTATGGGGCTGACGCAGAGTTGGGAGTTCCCTGCAGTTCCCTGGAGCCTGCGCCTGCACGTCTGAGCATTCTGGCCTCTGCAGGTTTCCAGGACGGTCCTGCAGGGCAGAAGGGCCACTCGGCTTCCTCCCCACTCACCTACTGTTATGTTCCCAAAGCCCAGAGTGAGGAGTCGCTCCTTGTGCTCATTGAGTTGGTGCTTGGACTCATTCAGAACGCCGTTGGCCCACAGAAGCAGGTTGGTGAACACAGAGTGGATCACCCCAAATCTGAAAAACACAAGACCTCATTCTCAAGCGGCCCTGGGAGAGCTTCAAGTCCAATGGGGTGACGCGCGCACACACACACACACACACACACACACACACACACACACACAGGCCTCCTTCTCAGCCATGACTCTGGTTTCACCTGGCAACTCATGCTCTGGGTGGGTCCCCTGTCTGGCTGGGAGGGGCAGTTCCACGGGACCTTCCAAAACCACAGAGTCTTGGCATTTTTCCTTAACCTTGAGCCTGCCAGTACCCAAGTCATTGTCTATGGGACATCAAAGAAGCTGGGTCTTCAAGCAGGGTTATAGGGATGCAGATTTACTAAAAGCAGGCACCCAACCCCATTGTACCCCTAAACCCTTTTTCCAGAAGGGAGGAGGAAAGCAGAGAGCAATGAGAAAAAGATCAAAGGGTAACACTGGAGATCTAAGCGAGGACACATCCTAATGTTGGTTGGCCAGTTCAATAATCCCATCCAGCCTCTCTGCCCTGCTACCTACCTCTAAGGATGCTGAAACAAGCCAGAGGCTCCCTTGCAGCTAGGCATGGCCATTCTGGCCAGTGGCACGTGAGGTGCAGTTGACTGGGCACTACTGAAAAGCTATGCTATAGTTCCTTTCCCCCTTCTTCCCAGCCTGGAATGCAGACATGAAGGCTGGAGTTGTGGCAGCCATTGCATGACCAAGAGGCAGCCAGCGTGGGATGAAACCCTCCGCGGGAGGCGGAGTGGAAACCTAGAAAGAGCCTGCTCTGGGACGAGATTGTTGAGCTGCTGAAGACTCAGAGAAGTTCAGGCATTAGCCCAGTGGTCACCCATGGAGTGAGCAGCCACATGGGGTCTGAAGCAGCACTGCTGTTCTGGCTCTGGAGTCCTGCCCTTGCCCTAAGCCACGCTGCCTCCCGCGGAAGAAAGCAAAAAGGGGGCGAAGTGGAAGGTGGACACTGGACTCTGGGTAGCAGATGAGAGATCCGGGTACAATGTGGTCACCAGAGGGTCACTGCCTGCTTTAAATCCTCCAAAGTCTCCCCATGCCTGCAGGCTTAGGGCATTCACTTTGGCAGCTTCCAGGGTATGTACTTAGCCATGTGCCTGGTGGTTAACAGGTGCAGCAAATACTGGTGATTTGAGAGACTCATTATTTTTAGTAGGGTTCTCACCATCACCCAGGCTGGAGTGCAGTGGCACGATCATGGCTTCTTGCTGCCTCGACATTCTGAGCTCACACAGTTCTTCCTCCTCAGCCACTGACATAACTGGTACTACAGGTGCACGCCACCATACCTAGCTAATTGTTATTGCTTGTTGTTATTGTTGTACGTAGAGACAGGATCTCACTATGTTGACCAGGATGGTCTCGAACTTCTGGGTTTAAACCAGTCTCCCACCTCGGTCTCCCAAAGTGCTGGATTGCAGGCATGAGCTGCCACGCTCAGCCTCAGAGAGCCATTCTTAAAGCTTTCCGTAGAACTGATCACTCCTGAGTTGGAGGGCAGAGGCCTAAAAGAGGCACGCTCCCTCCCTTCTAACCAAGAGACCACTGGTCTGTGACCTGCCTACAGGGAAAAGTGTGACTGTGTCCTCAGCCCTGACTCTGCCTCTCCTCCAAGCTGAACCCCAGCTGACCCCTCTGGGGCTCCACGAGCAATCACAGCAAAACTTTTGCTCACCTGACCCGCTGGCACCCACACAATGTCCCGGCACAACTGGAGAAGGAAACGGGATCCCAGGAGCGCCTGGGTGAGATGTTTGCTCATCTGTGTGCCCTCACACTTGCCCAGTGCTACAGATCGTGCCGGCCCACCCCAGAGCACCTTGGAGGCATTCTATGCAGCCTTGGACAAACACAGACAATGCTGTTTGCCTCAGCCGGCCTGGCTTTTCTTTTACTTGTCATGCACACAGCTCTTCTTGCTCCTCTCCTTTTTCCTGGCCCGAATGGCACTGTCGGGCCCCGGGCCCACTGAGCTCAGAGAGGGAGCACCCATGCCACTTGTGGCTGCAAGCCGTGCCACCCCGCAAGCTTCCTGCGAGCCGGCAGCCTCCGGTGGCCTGGTCTGGAAATGGCCCCCATGCCTAGGGCAGCTGTCCTTTTCCCATGCCAGGCTGCCTTTCTCGTTCCCAGACCACGGGAAAGGGAAGGCTTCCATGAGCCACTGCTGATCTCGATGTATGTTCCCAGCTCTGCTTTTGAAACTACTGTCCCTGTGATCCCCAGCTTTGGGAAAAGGACTCAAACCAGTTAGGGGAATTCTCAGCTCAGGCGAAAACTTCCTGTACATACTGAAAGTGTGGGAGAGTGAAATGTTGACTCAAAAGATTGGAAGAAAACAGTAAGCCCGTAAATGACAAGTTCAGAAACCTTCAAGGTCCAGCAGAAAATATCATTCAATAAAGCAGGTTTAGGGTGTTAGGGAGTGGTGAGGACTGTGGCAAACAGAGGGGCCAGCCCCCATCTAGAGAAAGCAGCCCTGACTCAGCTCTAGTCCATTGTTGCCATTCACAGTTGAGATTGCCAGATCTTCCCGTTTTTCTAGAAAAGACTAAGTCTAAACTCAAAAGGTAGTAATTCAAGAATGTCAAACACTTTGCTCTAGAAACAAAACATGGTAAATGGAGCTATGTCTGCATCTGGCTCAAATCACAGAGCACGGAGAGACTTTTTCCCAACCACTCAGCAACCAAGGCAGGACTAGGTCCCGGTCCCACTGAGGCATCTCTGATAAAAGACCCTGGGGTTGATACCTGGTCCCATGGCCCAAAGCAGCACCGTTCAAAGAAAGATCATGCAGCACAGGCGTGGCACTTAATTTTAAATTTCCTAGTAGCTGCATTTTAAAACAGTAAGAAGGAGCAGGGGAAATAATTCTAATGAGAGTTTGTCAACCCCAATATATCTAATAAGGCGTCATGCCAACACAACAGTCAAGACCAGAACGATTACTGTTGAGCTGTTGTTTTGTTTGTAACAGCTACGTTCTGTTTTCTTTCTAGTCTCCAGGGTCGGGTGTGCACGCCGCACTTGCAGCACATGTCCGTGCAGTCCGATCACCACCCTAGGGCTCAGTAGCCACACGGGCTAGTGGCTGCTCAGCTGGACAGCACAGACCTAAGAGCCCAGGCCACGGACTCTGCCGCTCTGAGGGAAGTGGGCCCAAATGACCCGTGGCTCAGATTAAATAAGGGCACAGAGAAGGATTTTCTCCAGCACCCCCGGCTGGCCACGACAGTCACTAGCAGCATTCAGCTCCCACAAAGCCACGCACCAGCGGGCTGCCTGACCTTGGGCATTTGCTGCATTTCTCTGAGTCTCAGTTTCTTCATCTGCTAAATGGGAATCGTGGTCATATCCAGTGGCTCCCACTTACGGGGCTATTGTGAGAGAGGACCCCACAGTGACACATTTAAAAGAAAGTGCTGTGTGCACTGGGAAGTTCGGCCTGGAGCTCCGGGGCTATCACGCTGCTCGGTCTGCATTTGTGGAAAACGCCTTCGCCTGTTTCCCAACAATTCTACTTTCAGAACTTAACCCAAGAAAATAACTTAAGATGTTCAAAATATTTTCAAGTGAAGGTGTTCATCACAGTGCTACTTATAATCACAACCCAAACGTTCAGACTAAACGTCCAACAAAAGGCGCTGTGGATGGAAAGAACTGTGTCCCCACCCCATCCCCAAATCCATACGTCGAAACCCTGACCTCCACTGTGACTGCATTTGGAAACAGGGCCGTTCAGGAGACAGTGAGGGCTCCATGAGGTCGCAGGAGTGGGGCCCTACTCCCACGGGCTGGAGTCTTCATAAGAAGAGAAACACTCCGGAGCCCTCTCCCTCTTCTCCCCACCCCACCACCACCTGAGGACACAGCAAGAGGGTGGCTGTCTGCCAGCCAGGACGAAAGCCCTCGTCAGACACCAGCCTTCCTGGCGTCTTGACTCTAGACCTTGAGCCAAGACCGTCTTTTCAAGGGCGAGATCACTGGTGTCTCTTCCTCTGATAAAGGCTCTCATCCCATCACGGGCCCCGCCCTCATGGCCCTTCACTCACTTCCCGCCATCACTTCCCCAGGGCCTCACTTCCAAGCCACATTACATTGGGGATGGAGGCTTCCACGCGTGAATCTGGGAGGCCACAACTTTCAGCCCACAACAGTGGCAGCATGGTGACTCTCAAATGCTACTGTGTCCTTGTAAGTTTCGCCAGGAAAAAAGATGCCGTTGCTGAGGAATCGCTTTGTGAGTAGATGCAGTGAAACCTGTGGCCCAGGACAAATCCAGCGGAAGTTATCCTCGAGTGGCAAGTGGCGGCTGGCCTCCGGAGGGAGGGGAAGTGCAGACAACACACACGCGTGAGCCTCACTCCTCATTACTGACAGGGACAGATCAGGGCAGAGTTCTCTGGCAACCTGAGCACATTTCATCCTGCCCCACCTGTTGAGGGCACCTCCTGCTGAGGGCCCAGGTACGGCTGAACGTGAGGATGGTCGAAGGTCAAAGTCTTGGTCCAGCTCCAAGGGACAATTACAGTTGTTTGTGTTGGGTCTTTGGGGTCCTGAATTTCATGTGTCTATTCCCTTCCCCTGGAGGGAACAACACTGGGACACACTTCTGAGCTCTCCCTACCCCCCCACCCAGTAGGCCAAGGGACTTCTGATGTTAGTAAGGCTGGGTAGGCCTGGTGAGGTGGCTCACACCTGTAATCCCAGCACTTTGGGAGGCCAAGGCAGGAAGATTGCTGAAAGCTAGGGGTTTGAGACCAGCCTAGGCTGCATAGTGAGACCCTGTCTCCACAAAAATTAAAAACTTATCCTGGCATGCCTGTAGTCCCAGCTACTCAAGAAGCCGAAATGGGAAGATCACCTGAGCCCAGGAGTTCAAGGCTGCAGTGAGACATGATCATACCACTGCACTCCAGCCTGGGCAACAGAGCAAGACCATCTCTCCAAAAAAAAAAAAAAATGACTGGGGGAAAAGGGCACTGCCAAGGCTGCACAGTGGGTAACACAGGCTGCCCAGGGCCAACTGCAGGATGCCATTCACACAGGCCAGGGCACCTCGGCTATCATCGCTCATGTCCCCAGCAATGCCTGACAGCAAGCCCTACACAGCAGGGCCTCTAAGGATGCCCGAGTGCATGGTGGTGTTGATTGTTTTTGCATAATGAGGCTGGTGAAATCCATTTCTATGTCAAAAGTCTGTTGGCATAGTTCTGCCCAGGGGTCCTCCTTAAATCCATCTTTTAAATATCAGCTGTCATGGCAAATGGTACAGGGGAGTGTTCTGTTCCTCATTACAAGTTTATGTGATGAGGGACCTTTCTATAAAGTAAATACGGATCCCTAGATCCCTTGTCTGTGTGCTTCCTTACGTGATAATACCTTGTATGTAGGTCATTCGCCCATCATCCTGGAGGTCCCTTCCTCTGATCCTCCCAGTCACCTGGGAGCACAGCGGAAGGACAGAATGATAGACCCAACACTTCTGAATACCCACTGCATGGCGTTTTATGTCATTCCCTCCTTCAGTTCTCAGAGGCAGGCTACTAAGGAAGCGGACATATTCCTCTCTTCAAGACTGAGAACTGTTGGGCTGAAGAAGGTTAAAAGCAGAGAATACTCTGCCTCTCCCTCGCCTGCCTGATGGCAGGGCAGTGACTTCCACCTCCCCTTCCTTTCCTGCCTAAAGACAGAGATGTAATTTTTGTCCTTGCTGTGGTGGACTCTGGGCTTTCATCAGCTCGCAGGTAGGCCTTCCAGGGCTAGGAGAACCTGGAAGCAAACTTTCCTTTATCTTGTCACCGTAGGACTTATGGCTGTTTGTTGAAATACTATTGGAGCAAGGCTCTTAAACCACAGACAGAGAGATATAGCCTTTCTTTAGAACTGAGCTGTACCATTTTATGTTACATTTTATGATAATGATGGGTACAGCACATGTCAACTTTTGCTGGTTTTTCGCCTCAATTAAGAAGTTATGAGGGTTTCAAAGGAAATTATATTTTATTTTCCTCATCTTCATTTTACAGGTAAGGAAACTGAGTGTTACAAAAAGGAAGTATCTAAGATGCAGAGTCAAAACGCAAAGTTCAAACCCACACCATGCCACTACCTCTTCTCCCGGACACAAGTGAGGACTTTACTTTCAGGACTGAGACAGCGTTGACCTCAGCTTTTATAACCCAAGCAGGATGGCAGTGATGAGTTCTGCTTGTTCTAACTGAATGCCAAATTCAATGTGTAAAGCAGTTATCCACAGTTTTACCTTTCCAATGTTTTGAAAGACTGGATAATATCCTTTGCATGCCCCCAAAGGAAATACACCTAGGTGGAAATAAAGGAAAAAACAAAAGTGTGTCAGTGGGAAAATCATCCTATTTGCAAACAAGCAGCTCTAAAACTCAAAGAAAGGGCATGGGAGAATGCTGAATGTCAGTGACCTCCCTCCCCCTCTCAGGTGGCAGTGCCATCCCCAATGGGGACAGCGGCCCAGGAGCACTGTGCTGGAAAGCAGAGTGAGGCCTCTGGGAGGAAATGGTGCTATAACGGATCGAGGCTGTCTGCTGTGGGGTGGGGTATGCAATTGATTGATGAAGCCTGCTGTAGAACAGGGTATGGGAGTGGTCGCCTGCCTGTCACGAAACCTGTAACCAGTTGGTATCACATATGTCAGGTTTCATGCAAGGAAGAGCCACTGAACAGTTACCCAGCATCCGTGGACAGAAACCAAATGCTGTTTTATTGTTTGGGGAGTTTTTGTACAAATTTGCAGAGTACAAGTGCAGTTTTGTTATCTGAATATATTGCTTTGTGGTGAAGTCCAGGCATTTAATGTAACTATCACCTGAATGATGTACATTGCACCCATTAAGTAATTTCTCATCCCTCACCGCCTCCCACTCTCCCACCCTTCTAAGTCTCCAGTGTTAATTATTCCACACTCTATGTCCATGTGTACACATTATTTAGCTCCCACTTATAATGAGAACTTGGGGTATTTGTCTTTCTATGTCTGGCGTGTTTCACTTAAGATAATGGCCTCCGGTTCCACCCATGTTGCTGCAATGACATGATTTCATTCTTTTTTATAGCTGAGTAATATTCCATTGTGTATATATGCCATGTTTTCTTTATCCGCTAATCCATTGATAGGTTGATTCCATATCTTTGCTATTGTGGACAGTGCTGCAATAAACTTACGAGTGCAGGTATGTTTTTAATATAATTGTTTCTTTTCTTTTAGGAAGAGATCCAGTAGAGGGTTGCTGGATCAAATGGTAGTTCTATTTTTAGTTACCTGAGAAATCTCCATACAAATGAACCAAATGTTGAGTGCTTTAAATGAAGAAGGAAGCCAGCTCGGTGGCTCAGCCTGTAATCCCACGCCTTGGGAGGCTGAGGTGAGTGGATTGCCTGAGCCCACGGGTTCAAGACCCACCTGGGCAACTTGGCGAGGCCTCATCTCTACAATAAATCAAAAATCAGCCGGGCGTGGCAGCACGCACTCCAAGGAGTTCCAGCTCCTTGGAAGGCTGAGGCGGAAGGATCGCCGGAGCCCAGCAGGTCAAGGCTGCGGTGGCTGGGAGTGGCCACTGCACTCCAGTCTGGGTGACAGAGTGAGACTCCAACTCAAAAATAAATAATAAAAATTTAAAAAATAAATGAAGAAGGAAATTGATTTAGGCCGGTTTTTTATTTCACTCTATTGCATATGCTATTGCCTTCCCTGGGTTGTGCAGTCACTAGCAGCAAGACAGGCAAGGGTTGAAGCCATGGATGCTGGAGACCTCTGTGAAACTTCTGACTCCCTCCCTGAATAGCCACGTGACCTTTGGCAAGTCAGGGAACCATGCTGAACCTCTTTTCTCATCTTCAAAATGGAAATGATAGGAGTTTGCCCTGGGGAGTGTTGTGAGCAATTAAATGAGATGATCCATGTGAATTGCTTAGAGCATGTGTGTCTTCAGTGTATATTCTTCACTGTCAACTTATTCATTGACATTGAGCGCCTCCCATGCGCCAGCCATTATTTGAACTTCTAAAATATGTCAGACTTTATTTTAGAGACAAACACATATTGAGCACTTCCTGCATGCCAAACACTGTGAGGTATTTTATGTGTTTGTCTCATTTAATCTTTATTTTTCAACTAAGAGTTATAAAAATAAATCAGATGGCATAAAACAAAATACACTTTCACATATTACCTCTTCCACATTATTATACCTACCACTTACTGTTTTGCTCAGTAAAACACTTTCAGAGCACAACTCTCTTAAAACATCCAATGGCCAGGTGTGGTGGTTCACACTTGTAATCCCAGCACTTTAGGAGGTGGAGGTGAGAGGATTGCCTGAGCCCAGGGGTTCAAGACCAGCCTGGGCAACTTGGCAAGACCTCTCTCTACAATAAATCAAAAAATTAGCTGAGAGTGGTGGCACACGCCTGTAGTTCCAGCTACTTGGAAGGTTGAGGCAGAAGGATCACCTGAGCCCAGCAGGTGGAGGCTGTGGTGGTTGTGAGAAGCCACCGCACTCCAGCCTGGGCAGCAGAGTGAGACTTGGACCCAAAAAAAAGTCCCCAAAAATATACATTGATTTTAAAATAGCAGTGACTCCTTGTTAAAGGTGACATTCCACCCAACAATATGTAAACCATTAAGTAAATGATATGTATCAATGAATTCTAAATTAGATAGTCATTTAGTTTATGCTTTTTATAAAGACTAGACAGCAACATTTAAAAGTTTATGACTTTTTTTAGTGAAAAACTTGAAATCGAAAATTCTGCACCCTGTATGTAAAACTTTGACAAGAATGTACACTTTAAATACAAGGAATGAGCCGGGCTCGGTGGCTCAGCCTGTAATCCCGCGCCTTTGGGAGGCTGAGGTGAGTGGATTACCTGAGCCCGCAGGTTCAAGACCCACCTGGGCAACTTGGTGAGACCTCATCTCTACAATAAATCAAAAATTAGCCGGGCGTGGTAGCGTGCGCCTGTAGTTCCAGCTACTCGGAAGGCTGAGGCGGAAGGATCCCTGGAGGCCAGCCAGTCGAGGCTGCGGTGGCCAGGAGTGGCCACTGTACTCCAGTTTGGGTGACAGAGTGAGACTCCAACTCAAAAAAGTAAACATAAAAAATAAAAATTAAAAAAATTAAAAAATACAAGGAATGGAGGAAATGAAAACTAAAATAAAAAACAAAAAACAACAACAAATGCTGCCTTCAGTTGATGGACTTACAGTGCATTTTTATTATCTTTTCTACTTTTTCAGTAATGTAAATTATGTTTTTAAAATTTTTTTTTAGAATTACCACATGGTCCAGCAATACCACTTCTGGATATATATCCAAAAGAACTGAAAACAAGCTATCAAGGAGAGGCTTGTATGCCCATGTTCATAGCAGCATTATTCACAATAGCCAAGAGGTAAAAGCAACCCAAGTGCCCATGGATGAATGAATGGGTGAACAAAATGTGGTTAATCCATTCATACAACAGAATTTTATTCAATCTTAAATAGGAAGAAAATTCTGACACATGCCACAACATGAATGAAACTTGAAGACATTATGCTAAGGGAAATAAGCCAGTCACAAGAAGACAAGTACTGCATGATTCCATTTACATAAAGTATCTGAAATAGTCAAGTTCATAGGAATGGAAAATAGGACGGTTAGTGTCAGCAGCTGGCTACAGGAGAGGGGAGGAAATTAAGAATTGCCGAGAGGGTACAGAGTTTCAGTTTCACAAGATGAAAAAGTTGTGCAGATAGGTTGCACAACGATGTGACTACTCTTAATGCTACTAAACTGTACACTGAAAATGGCTGAGATGTTTAATTTTATAGTGTGTCCTGTTGACCTAAAAACAGGACACTAAAGGAAACTACTTCTAACCATGTTGGGTTTACTCTGGAATAAGAAACAAGAATAATAATCTGGAATGCATGGACTAGCAAACCACCAAGTGCATTTGGAGAGGGGAGGATAAGGGGAGCTTTAATCAGTAAAAAGAGATTTACATAAGCTGCTTAGAAACAGAGTTCCCTGGTTCAAAGCCAAAGTTGCTGTCAGTTCACTGGCAAAGACATCATTATTGGGCAAGTCTTCTGAGAGCACGCTATCTGAATTACTGCAGTTCTACAGAGTGTCTGACGATAAGCCTTGGCAAAGCCAGAGATCCATGAAGGGTTTTTAAAAAGTTCTTGAGAACAGCTCTTACCTCAGACATGTAAACATGAGCCTCCGTTTTACAGCGAAGGCAGCCAAAGATCGGAGCCTCAAAGACAGACTCAGATTCACCTTGGGACTTTCTGGGTTGTCCGCAGCTGCTCAGGATGTCTTGATGGGAAGGGTTTTTGTGCACCTGGGATACACTTAACAGGAAACAAGACAGCATCCATAAGCGTCAGTGGCTTACCTGCAGCAGGGTATGCACTGTATGTGCGACGGGAAAAACTCCTTCAGTGGCTGACAAACATTCTGAAAATCCAACGAAGTATCCAATTTTAAGGCATCCCAGGATGACAGTGATCACCGCAAACAATGTGATACTGCCTGAACTCGGGGGGGGTGGGGGCAGAAGCACACGTGTTAACACGTACTGATGTCATTTCAAAATAAATCATACTATTTTGTTTTTGTTTTTGAGTTGGAGTCTCACTCTGTCGCCCAGACTGGAGTGCAGTGCCCGCTCCCGGCCACCACAGCCTCAACCCACTGGGCTCCGGCGATCCTTCCGCTTCAGCCTTCCAAGTAGCCGGAATTACAGGCATTCACTACCACGCCCGGCTGATTTTTGATTTATTGTGGAGATGAGGTCTCGCCAAGTTGCCCAGGCGGGTCTCGAACCCACGGGCTCAGGCAATCCACTCACCTCAGCCTCCCAAAGGCGTGGGATTACAGGCTGAGCCACCGAGCCTGGCAAATCATACTATTAATTGAACCCTCATATACATTTTTTAAATGGGCATAGGACTTGAATGTGCATCCAAAGATATAAAAATGAGAAATCAAATAGAATTATGAGATACCACCTCATACCTGTTAGGATGGCGATGATTTAAAAAAAGAAGAAAAAGCAGGGCATAGTGGCTCACACTTGTAATCCCAGTGCTTTGGGAGGCTGAGGCGGGAGGAGTCCTTAAGACCAGGAAGTTGAGACCAGCCTGGGCTGGGCGATATAGAAGACCTCATCTCCACAAAAAGTAAAAAAAAAACCAGGCATGGTAGTGCACACCTGTAGTCCCAGTTACTTGGGAGACTGAGGCAGAAGGGTTGCCTGAGTCCAGGAAGTCAAGGCTGAGGTGAACCATGGCCATGCCACTGAACTCTCCCGGGCAACAGAGTAAGACCCTGAGTCAGAAAGAAAGAGAGGGAGGGAGGGCAGGAACAAAATTTAAAAATACGCTGAGCACAGTGGCTCATGCCCACAACCCCAGCACTCTGGGAGGCTAGAGGGGGAGGATCACTTGAGGCCAAGAGTTAGAGACCAGCCTGAGCAACATAATGAGATTTCATCTCGGAAGGAAGGAAGGACAGACAGAAAGTAACAAATGTTGGTGAGAATGTGAAGAAGTTGGAACCCTTATGCTCTATTGGTAGGAATGTACAATCACACAGCTACTATAGAAAACAGTAGGGAGGACCCTCAAAAAATTAAAAATACGATCACTGCACAACCCAATAATTTCACTTCTGGGCATACAACTGAACGAATCAAAAGCAGAATTATGAAGGGGTATCTGCATTCCCATGTCCATAGCAGCATATTCCCAAGAGCCAAAAGTTGGAGCCACCTGGTGTCCATCAGCAGGTGAACGGATAAGCAAAATGTGGCATAAACACACAATTGAATAGTATCCACCTTAAAAGGAAAGGAAATCCTGACACACAGCACAGCACGGATGAACCATGAGGACCTTGTGCCGAGTAAAACAAACCAGTCTCTGAAAGCCAAGACTGCAGGACTTCCCTTACATGACTTACCTAAAGCAGTCAAGTTAATAGAGACAGAAAGTAGAAAGGTGGGTGCCCGGGCCTAGAGGGAGGGAAGAGTGAGGAGTCAGGGTTTGCTAGGAACAGAGCTTCAGTTTCGCAAGACGAAAAAGTTCTGGAGATCGGCTGCACACGCCATATGTACTCAACACTACTGAACTGCATGCTTAAAAAATGGATACGAAGCTGGGCTCGGTGGCTCAGCCTGTAATCCCGCGCCTTGGGAGGCTGAGGTGAGTGGATGGCCTGAGCCCGCAGGTTTGAGACCCGCCTGGGCAGCGAGACCTCATCTCTACAATAAATCAAAAAAATCAGCTGGGCGTGGTAGCGCGCGCCTGTGGTTCTGGCTACTCGGAAGGCTGAGGCGGAAGAATCACCGGATCCCCAGCAGGTTGAGGCTGCGGTGGCCGGGAGCCGGGAGCGGCCACGGCACTCCAGTCTGGGCGACAGAGACTCCAACTCAAAAAAAAAAAATGGATACGTTGGTCAATTTTATGTCATGTATATGATATGTCACCACAATTTAAAATTTAAAATATGTCAATAAAATAAGCTATACTGTTGGGTAGTGATATGCTGAAACTTAAGATAAGACAGACATTGTGCCTTTTCCAAGGTGCTCACCCCAAGAGAGTCTGACAAATGACATACATTCAACCAAGGTTTGTTGAATCAACAGAAGCCTCTAGAAGCTTTTCCAAAAAGGACTGATCCAAAAGTGCCACTGCTGTACTCAAGCACCTTGTTCTAAAATCCTGCTCTATGGAGAATACAGAGCAGAGGGTGCAGGTGATACAGGTAGACAAGAACCCTCTGTACTATCTTTGCAACTTTTCTGTAATTCTGAAACTTTTCTAAAATAGAGAGTGTTTGGTTTCTGTTGTTGTTGTTTTGTTTTTCTCTAATGGGTAAGGGATCTATAGCAGTAGCCTGGAAAGAGCCTGTGCTAGGTGCAGTGAAGAAAGGAAGCACTCTTTGATTGTATAATGAGCATGGTTTTCACCAAAGAAATAAATATAATTTCTGTAAAAAAGACTGAAAAGAGACTGGGTATGGTGGCTCACGTCTGTAATCCCAGCATTTGGGAGACCAAGGTGGGAGGATCGCTTAAGCCCAGGAGTTTGAGACCAGCCTAGGCAACATAGCATGACCTTGCCTCTACAAAAAAAATTTTTTTAATTAGCTGGGCATGGTGGTGCTCACCTGTATTTCCAGCTGCTCGGGAGGCTGAGACAGAAGGATTGCCTGAGCCCAGGAGGTAGAGGCTGCCATAAGCCATGATCGTGCCACTGCAATCCAGCCTGGGCAACAGAGTGAGACCTTGACTCAAAAAAAAAAAAAAAAAAGAAACTGAAAAAGAATATACAAAATACATTTAAAAGACTCTTGGTGGCAAATTAAAAAACTAGTGAAAAACGCAGTGATCATGGGGACTTGATCAAAGTTCCCCATCCCTCTCCTGGGCCGGCACTGACTCTCACGTACACATTCTCTCCCATGAGCAGGAGGAAACCGAATCGTCTGTGACATGCATTAAGGCAGCAGCAGAGGAGGGCCTGAGCCGTGAGAGGGGCGCTATCCCATTACAGCCCAGCCGAGAAGCCTCCAGTGACAAGTAACGCAATCTCCTGGCTCCCTTCCGCTGCTCAAAGCCTTATAGAAATCACGAGAAGTCACTTTTTTTAAAATGCTGGAAAAACCCCAGCGAAACTAGAAACTCTGTAAGAGTGGAGATTCAATCCCAGGGCTTTGAAATGGTTTGACAAATGCCTGGCTGGTTTTGGCTACAAAAAGTAACAGCAAGATGAGGCAAGGCGGCCTGGTCGGGTGGCGAGAGCACAGGCCCAAAGCTGTGGAGACCTGGGCTCGAGTGTCCACCGATGGACACAGAGTTCCTACAAGTCATCTCCCTGCACCTAGCCTCAGTACTCCCACACAGAAAATAAGGATCGTCTATAGCAGTGGTTCTCAAACTTGAGCATGCATGCCCCTGATCACCTGGAGGGCTAGTTGCAACACAAATCTCTAGGCTCCACCCCCAGGGGTTCTGATTCAGATCGGGGAGGGCCCCCAAAACCTGCATCTCTAGCAAGTTTCCAGGTAGGGCTGATGTTACGCGTCTGGGATTCCACCTTGAAAACCACTGGTCTAGAACACCTCTGTGGTTGGCATTTCTCGGGTTCTGTAACATATGCTCCATGTATTTTCTCACACCCCTGAAGTCCTTTCTTCCTTCCTTCTTTCCTTCATCCATCTATGAATTCCTTCACTCAGTTATTTGTATAACAAGTATTTTGGGAACTCCCATTATGCATGAAGCATCATGCCAGAGGCTCAAAGATTAAAAAAACAAGATTGCTGGAGAAACAAAAATACACAAATATAATATTGCATAAATTGGGGTGTGTACAAAATATTAAAGGAATGAGCTGGCACCAGATTTTTTTGTGCAGCATAGGAAACTGGGAGACGGTGGAAGAATTTATCACAGGGAAAGGACTGCAGTTCAAAAACCTTTCCAGCTAAGATGTTACCCACCTGTCAGGGAAAATCTGAAGATATGCAAAATGTAATTTTTTTCAACAACCATTTGTTGAGCACCAATTGTGAGTCAAGTACTATTCTAGGCACTGGGGATATAAAAATAAAATAAATAAAGTAGAGTATCTGCCCTTGGGGAGCTTAGCATTCTAGTGGGGAAGACAGAAAATAAACAAGTAAACAGTAAACATATAAAGAATGTCAGGAAGTGCTAAGAGCATGAAGAAGGGCAAAGCAGGGAAGGGGACTGAGGTCAGAGGTGGGTGGTCAGGACAAAAGGTGACAATGGAACAGAGAAGGGGGGAGGTGAATACCACACATTTACCACATAATGGGTCTATAAAGGGCATGAGCCTGACAACACATGACCTGGAAGACAGTCTTCGAGAGAAGGGAAGATGAAGAGGAGAGGAAACAATAGTGAGCGATCAACTTTGCAGAAGATGGGAGTAGGGATATGATGGACGGGTGGATGGATGGATGGCCAAGGAGACAGACCATAGGATTGGCAGCGGAGAAGAGGAGAAGTGAAGTCCATGTGTGATTCACATGTTCCATAAAGATTTGTCACACAGAATAGACATTTTGAGAAGAAACTCTGTTAAACATTAAGTTAGTTCTAGAGAAGAAAAACCTCTCAAAGATCTCATGGTAAAGAGACGGGAAAAGATGGGGGGACAGGGAAGCACTTGTATCCTAAAGGCTTCATCTCATTAGGTAGAGAGAAAGGGGGAAGACAGGGCATCTGAAAGCGGGAAGTGTGTGTCCTGCTGGGGAACTCATTTGGTATTTTGTTTTCAGGTAAGAATGAAGTCATATGCATCTGATTATGAGCCTGAGGGAAGGGAAGATGGTTATTAATGGAATAGAAAAGCACAAAACAGTTTTCAAGTGCTCAGAAAGGCAAACGTGGAAAAAGAAAACGAAGGGATAATAATGTAACGCAGGGGTCCCCCCTGCCCCAGGGCCACAGGCCGGGGCAGGTCCATAGCCTGTTAGGAGCCCAGCTGCACAGTGGGAGGTGAGCAGTGGGCCAGCATCCATCTTCTGTCAGATCAGCTGCAATGTCAGATTCTCATAGAAGGGAAAACTCTACTGTGAACTGCACACTCCAGGGGTCTAGATGGAACTCTCCTGAAGAGAAGCGACTGCCTGATGGTCTCAGGCAGAGCTGAGATGGTGGTTAGCAGTGAGGTTTTTCTGCACTTTCTCCTGGACCTGCCTCCCGTCCCTGGAAAAGTCCTCTCCCACGAAACCAGCTCCTGATGCCAAAAAGGTTGAGGACTGCTGATGTGAAGAATATAATTATAAACATGAAAGAAAAATGAGCCAGGCACCTGAGGAGGGAGGCTTGTTTGAGGCCAGGAGTTTGACACCACCCTGGACAACATAGCAAGATCTTTCCTCTACAAAATACATATATATAAAGAAAAATGGAAACACAAAGCCAAGTATATAAATCATCACAGTAAACTAGAATGATCTGAATCCTCCCATGAGTCAGCAAGCAAGGAAGGGAAGATCGAATGAAAAACAAAACCTAGCTATATGCCCTTTACACAAATCACCCTTTTAACCATATAATAAAGGTTGAAAATAAAGGGGTGGACAAAGAGAAGCCAGGCAATGCAAACAAAAAGAAAGAATGTCAACATTAACTCAGACCACATGAAATGCAAAGTTAAGTAATAAGTAGGACGAAGAATCCTTCCACCTTTGTCAGTACACATGATAAGAGACGTCATATATGAGGAAGATCGGGCAGTTACACGTGTGCCCAAATAAAATAGTCTTTTGCTTTGCATATTTAACAGCTGCAAACAAAAAGGCAGAATGGAAAATTTCAGAACTAGGCAGATCAGACAGATAAATTCTAAGTAAGGACATAGGAGAGCTGAAACACTCAGCCCATAAACTCGTTTTTTTGCTTTTATTTTTTTTTTTAGTTGGAGTCTCACTCTGCCACCCAGACTGGAGTGCAGTGGCCGCTCCCGGCCACCACAGCCTCAACCTGATGGGCTCTGGCGATCCTTCCACCTCAGCCTTCCAAGTAGCTGGAACTACAGGCACGCGCTACCACGCCCGGCTAATTTTTGATTTATTGTAGAGATGAGGCCTCGCCAAGTTGCCCAGGCGGGTCTTAAACCCACAGGCTCAGGCCATCCACTCACTTCAGCCTCCCAAAGTGCTGGGATTACAGGCCGAGCCACCAAGCCCGGCTTAAACTCGTTTTATATGTAGATAAAACCCCAGATACCTCAAAAAGAGAACATATGACTTTGGAAAGCCACAGAACACTGACAAAAACCATGCTCTAAGGGACAGCAGAGGGTAGAATGGTGGAGGCTGGCTGCCCAACTTCAGATCCTGTCTTCTATCACTTACTATGACGGCCCTGAGCAATTCCTCAGCTTACCTGTGCCTCAGTTTCCTCGTCTGTAAGATGTGAAGATAGTAATAATAGCGCCGACCTCACAGGGGTGCTGAAGCATGAAAATCACCTAGAATAGTGTCCTGCACCTAGAGAGTTCTATAAGTGGGACGTTATTATCACCATTAGAAAGGAAAACTTAAGGGATTAGAACCAATGAGAAAGTTTACTCGCCACACGACTTGAAAATAAAAACTGTCTAGTGTGGGTCAAAGGCCCTTCCTCCGTGTTAAGCCCCCAGATCCCTTCTAGGAGTCTAGAACTTTATTTGCCAGACGGAGGTAAGAGGATCACTCGAGCCCAGGAGTCTGAGGCTGCATGAGTCCCGGACAGGCCACTGCCCTCCAGCCTGGGCGACAGACTGAGATCTTGACTCAATAGTAACAAGAATAACAAAGAGACTCTGGAACTGTGGCTCTTCCATCTGTGCGCCCTTCCCTCGCTGGGTGGCCCTCATGTCAGAGTATCATTCCTTGTGTTGCTGCTGTGCTTCCCTATAGCGAACGGCCTTTGACTGCCCAGAACCGTCCTGCTCTTTCCTGGAGCTTCCGTCACCACTCACTCACTCATTCGTTCATCCATCCATCCATCCTTTCCATCCTTCCATTCATTCACTGAGTCATTCAGCAGATACCAACTGGCATTTTCGACATGTTGGGCTGAGCCAGGAGCTCAGGACACAATGGTAAGCACATTCAGACCAGGCCTCTGGCATTAGGACTCACAATCTGGTTAGCCCAACAAACAGCAGCTCAATAGCACAGTCTCCTGTTTGATCAGTGCTAGGAAGAAAACGAACAGAGCCATGAGAGCATCCTGCCTGGGCGCTGCCCCAGGTCTGAAAGTGTCAGGAAAGGCATCCCAGAGAAGTGACTCTTGTTTGGTCAAAGCCAACGGGTGACCCAGATCCACCAGTCACAAGGCAACAGCAGCTTCAGCCTGCTACCTCCGGATTCTCCTCTTATAAACTGACCATCCTTCTGTGTCTCCTGCGGCCACTCTCCTCCAGGGGCCCATGAGATGCTCGAGAAGGACAGGACATGCACGCACCTAAAGCCAAACCTTCCTCTGACTTTCTGGCAGTCACTTTTCTTGTGGAGGCTGAAATTCTGACCGTATGTCTCTATTTTCCATTAGACCAGAAATTTTGGCAAAAAAAAAAAAAAAAGTAAGAAAATGCATGCAGCCAAGGAAGGCTCTCATCGCGTCCCCAGGATGGGTCTTGGGGATCATGCCTCCCTTTCCTGAGGGAACAGTCCTCTGCATATTGATTTGCTCCCGAAATGGGTTGGACGTCACTGCCACACTCGGTTCTCCTCTTCCTCCTCCTGCTCTTCCTTCTTCTTCTTTTTGAGTCGGCATCTCACTCTGTTGCCCAGGCTGGAGTACAGTGGCATGATCATAACCATCATCACAGCCTCAACCTCCTGGGCTCAGGTGATCTTCCTGCCCCAGGCTTCCGAGAAGCTGGGATTACAGGCACATGCCTCCACACCTGCTTAATTTTCTGATTTTTTTTTTTTTTTTTGTAGAGATGAAGTCTAGCTATGTTGCCCAGGCTAGTCTTGAACTTCTGGCCTCAAACAATCTTCCTGCTTTGGCCTCCCAAATTGCCGAGATTACAGGTATGAGTCACCATGCCTGACTGGGTTCCCTATAACCTGCATATTATTTTCATCATTTTTTAAATTCTAGGACACTTCCTAAGAACTTGTATATTATCTCTAAGTTCACTTGATTCCTAACTGATCTCCTAGCCTCTTGTCCTACTCCTCTCAAACCCAGGGCTTACCCTGTAGACAAAGTGCTCTTTCTGAAATGCAAGTATGATCCCATCATTCTTTCTTTAGAGCCTTCAATAGCTCCCTTGACCCACAGGACAAAGCCAAGGTCTGAAGCCTACCATGTAGGGCTCTATGTATCTCACTGCATCTCGGAACTCACTTCCAGACTCCAGCAGCCAACAAGAAGTCCTCCATTGGGAACCTTTCGCTAAACCCCAAGATCCTCCTCTCCGGGCTAGTCTTCTGCCCTCGCTCCACGCATCATAACAGGAATCGTTTCTTGCACAATCATAATAATACATTTCTCTTACTATGTGGCAGAGGCTGTTGCAAGCACGGTATTTTAACTCACTGGTTCTCATAACAACCTTATGGGGTAGGCAGTATCAGTATTTCCACTTTACAAATGAGGAGACTGAGGCAGAGAAGTGGCACTCCGTACCCTGCCCAGGGGACCGTGTTCTCAGCCATCATGCTCTACCATCCCCCACTGCCTGTGCCATCCTCCTCTCCCCTGCACCCCTTCCTGCTGGGCACGCCTGAACACCCTTCCGTATCCAGAGCCCAGCCAGCGCCCGGCGCGGGGCAGGCCCTCATTCCAGGCAAGACAGGCCCAGACTGCAAGTTGGGTGTCACAAGAGTTCCCTTGATGGCCCAGCTTGGCCCCCTTCTCTGTCGCCCTCTGCAAGTTCCAGAGGTCCTGCTCAGTGGAGGAGGCAGAAGCAGAATGGAAGTGAGGGATTTTGCCTGCTGGCTCCTGTCAATATCATATCACCATCCCAAAGCAAGGAGTTTCTCTCTACTCTCTTCCTCGCTACTCTCTTCCAGTGGTGCGGAGCTCAGCCCTCCCCCTGAAGCCCTTTCTGCTTCTCCACCAGGTAATTGGGGGTGACAGCACCCACCTCCAGACTTGCTCTGACAACGAAGATGTTATGGTAAGTGAAAGAAGCCAGCCACAAAAGATCCTAGAGTGCATTGCTTCAGTCATAGAAAGTGTCCAGTGCCGGGCGCAGTGGCTCAAGCCTGTAATCCCAGCACTTTGGGAGGCCGAGGTAAGAGGACTGCCTGAGCCCAGGGATTCAAGACCAGCCTGGGCAACTTGGTGAGACCACAGTTCTACAATTAAAAAAAAATTAGCCAGGTGTGGTAGCACATTTCTATAGTTCCAGCTACTTGGAAAGCTGAGGCAGAAGGATCACCTGAGCCCAGCAGGCCGAGGCTACAGTGGTCGTGAGCGTGCCACTGCACTCCAGCCTGGGCAGCAGAGTGAGACTCTGACTCAAAAAAATAAGAAAAAAGGAAAGAAAGTGTCCAGAATACAGAAATCTATAGATTCATGATTGTGAGAGCTGGGAGGAACAGGGAACATGGGGGTGGAAGGTAATAGTACAAGGATTGTTGTTGTTGTTGTTTTGACTTTGCGTCTCAGTCTGTTGCCCAGACTGGAATGCAGCGGTTCAATCACAGCTCACTGCAGCTTCAACCTCCTGGGCTCAGACTATCATTACTCCTCAGTCTCCTGAGTAACTAGGACTACAGGCACATGCCACTATGCCAGCGAGGTAGTGCTGTGTTGCCTAGGCCGGTCTTGAACTCCTGGGCTCGAGCAACCCTCCCAACTCTGCCTCCACCACACCCAGTCCTTTTTTTTTGAGTCAGGGTTTCACCCTAATACCCAGGCTGGAGTTCAGTGGTGCAATCACAGCTCACCACAGCCACAAACTCCTGGGCTCACGTCATCCTTCTGCCTCAGTCTCCCGAGTAGCTGGGACTACAAGCTTGAGCCACCATGCCCAGGTTTCTTTTTGAGATGAAAAAATGTCCTAAAATTATGGTAGTGGTTGGGCATATCTGTGCAAATACTAAAAACCATTAAATTGTGCACTTTAAATGGGAGAACTGCAAAGTATGTGAACTCTATCTCGAAGCTGTGACACAGAGACACAGGGCTTTGGCTACATCAGTGGCAGGGACCGAAGCCCAAGGAGACAGTGAGTGCCTGGGAGAGGCTGTGCCTGCAGAAAAGTGAGGCTGTGAGATTAAGATGCGCATCCATTCTTTTTATTTATTTTTTAGAGACAGGTCTTGCTCTGTCGCCAAGGCTGGAGAGCACTGGCGCAAGCTCTGAGGAGGAAACGCAAAGCCAAGCCCAGACTGATGTCCACAAGCTTTCTGCATCTGCCCTGAAGTCAGCAGGGATCGGCTGCAATCCCACGGAATGCACACTGACTTCCCTCCTCAGCCACGTGACTGCATACCGGGCTTTGCAACCCCCAGCTCATTCTCTCCTTGCTTCCCGCCAGTCCCAGCTGCTCTCCCAGGCTGTGGGCTCCCTGGACGCAGAGCCTGTGTGCAGTCTCTGTGTCCTCCAGCCTGGCTCCCTCCTCTCTCCCCACCCTCCAGCTCTCTGCCACCATCCCCCACAGCACCCTGCCCGTCCTCTGTGCGCGCACGCACACACACACACACACACACACACACACACACACACACACACCCACATGTACTGGAACCCATCTCTTCAGCAACCTTCACCTTCTCCAGAAATACTCACTGTGCTCCCAACCCTCACCTCTACAGTTTCTACTGCCACCACCCCAGCTGATCCCACCAGGGCAGCTCGTGCCTGTCCCTTTTCCACCAATCCCTTGAGAGACAATGAGCACTGTGCTCTGAGCAGCTCACTTCCAGGTACGGCATGCAGTTGGCACACTGGACAAAGGTATAACGTGTCATCAATATGGATGTGCCTCACTTTAAGAGAAGAAAACGGGCAACCCCTTCGGGTCCCCTCCCGCTGAAGGAGCTTTTCTGTCCTCTCAATTAAAAAAAAGAGAAAAAGAAAAAGAAAACACTATGTAAAAATCTGAACTCATAAAAGAAAGAAATTAGGGGGTGATTATTCACACGTAAAACAAAATTGCTGTGACAAATAACTAGGGCAATGCTTTGAACCCAGCATTTCAAACACACTCAAAGCACGTCACTTCCAAATCCAGGGGCTTCACATTTTTGATACGAGGTGGATTCGACCAACCTCGTATCAAAAATACTCAAGCCAGGCACAGTGGCTCACATCTGTAATCTCAGCACTTTGGGAGACCAAGCAGGAGGATTGCTTGAGCCCAGGAGTTCAAGAAGGGGTTGGGCAACATAACAAGAACTTGACTTTACAAAAATAAAAATTAAAAAAATCATCCAGCCATGATGATGTGTGCCTGTAGTCCCAGCTACTTGGGAGGCCGAGACAGAGGGATCGCATGAGCCCAGGAGGTTGAGGCTGCAGTGAGCCATGATACTGTCACTGCATTCCAGCCTGGGTGAGATTTTGACTCTCTCTCTATTTTTTTTTAAATGAATGGTTGTGGCTATACTAAACATGTCATTATCCCTCAACAGTATAGTATAACAACTTTTTCTTGTCATTATCCCTAAGCAGTATAGTATAACAACTATTTACAAAGCATTTACATTGTATTAGGTATTAGAAGTAATCCGATGATGATTTAAAGTATATGGGAAGAGTGTGCAGGTTACATGCAAATCCTGTGCCTTTTCATATCAGTGACTTTTCTTTGGTATGGGGAGAGGGTTCTGTTTTAGCTGATTAGACTCCATCCCCTGCAGATACTGAGGAAGGATTCTCTACCATGCATTCCTTTAAGTAAAACAGAAATAGAGCCGGGCTCGATGGCTCAGCCTGTAATCCCGCGCCTTTGGGAAGCTGAGGTGAGTGGATGCCCGAGCCCGAGGGTTCAAGACCCGCGTGGGCAACTTGGCGAGACCTCATCTCTACAATAAATCAAAAAACTAGCCGGGCGTGGTAGCACATGCCTGTGGTTCCGGCTACTCGGAAGGCT